GCTAATGATTGGCTATTCTAACAGGGGTGAGGTGGAATCTTAAGTGTGGTTTTCAATCCTTGCATTTCTTCATTGCTTGAGATGGTGAGCATTTTTTCATGTGTTTTTTGGCCATTAGAATTTCTTCTTTGAGGAAAGTTCTGTTTAGTTACCATTCACTGGCCCATCTCTTTATTGGTTCATTAATTTTGGGAGAATTTAATTTTTTAAGTTCCCTAATATTCTGGTTATCAGTCCTTTGTCCTGATGTGTAGCTGGCAAATTTTTTCTCCACTCTGTGGGTGTTCTCTTCAGTTTAGAGACCATTTCTTTTGTTGAGCAGAAGCTTTTTAGTTTTATGAAGTCCCATTTATCTATGCTATCTCTTAGTTGCTGTGCTGCTGCGGTTCCATTGAGAAAGTTCTTACCTATACCTACTAACTCCAGAGTATTTCTTACCTTTCCTGTATCAACTTTAGAGTTTGGGGTCTGATAATAAGATCCTTGATCTATTTTGAGTTGATATTGGTATAGGGTGATATACATGGATCTAATTTCAGTTTTTTGCAGACTGCTAACCAGTTTTCCCAGCAGTTTTTGTTGAAGAGGCTCTCTTTTCTCCATCATATGTTTTTAGCACCTTTGTCAAAGATAAGTTGGTTATAGTTACGTGGCTTCATATTCAGGTCCTCTGTTCTGTCCCACTTGTCTTCATGTCTGCTTTTGTGCCAGTACTATGCTGTTTTTATTGCTATTGCTTTGTAATATAGTTTGAAGTCGGGTATTGTGATACTTCCAGCGTTGTTCTTCTGACTGAGTGTTGCCTTGGCTATTTGTGCCCTCTTGTGTTTCCATATAAATTTAACGGTAGATTTTTCAATCTCTTTGATGAATGTCATTCAGATTTTGATGGGAATTGCATTAAACACGTAGATTACTTTTGGAAGTATAGACATTTTTACTATGTTGCTTCTACCAATCCATGAGCATGGGAGATCTCTCCACTTTCTATAGTCTTCCTCAATCTTTCTTCAGAAGTGTGTAGTTTTCTTGGAAAGGTCATTCACATCCATTGTAAGTTTAGACCTAGGTATTTGATTTTTTTTGAGGCTATTGTAAATGGAATTGTTTTCATATATTCTCTCTCAGTTTGCTCATTATTAGTGTATAGAAATGCTAATGATTTTTCTATGCTGATTTTATATCCTGTTACTTGCTATAGCTATTGATGGTGTCTAGAATCTTTTGAGTAGAGTTTTTTGGGTCATTAAGGTATAGGGTTTTATCTTCTGAAAATAGGGATATTTTGACAGTTTCCTTATCTATTTGTTTTCCATTTATTTCTTCTTCTTGCCTAATTGCTCTGGCTAGGAATTCCAGTACTATGTTGAATAGGAGTGGAGATAGTGGGCATCCTTGTCTCATTCCTGATTTTAGAGGGAATGGTTTCAGTTTTTCTCCATTAAATATAATGCTGGCTGTAGGTTTGTCATATATAGATTTTATAATGTTGAGGTACTTTCCTTCTATTCCTAGTTTTCTTAGAGCTTTTATCATGAAATGGTGTTGGATCATATCAAAGGCTTTTTCTGCATCTATTGAGATGATCAAGTGGTTTTTGTCTTTGCTTCTGTTAATGTGGTTTATTACGTTTATTGATTTTCATATGTTGAACCTTCCCTTCATTTCTGGGATGAAGACATCTTGGTCATGGTGAATGATCTTTTTGATGTGTTGTTGAATTCAGTTTGCCATTATTTTATTGAGGATTTTTGCATCAATGTTCATTAGGAGATTGGCCTATTCATTTGTTTTTACTGTTTGTTTCTCACTGAAGTTAAAAAAAATTGGTAGTACTCTGGTTTGAACACAGGGCCTCACATTTCCTAGGCAGACACTCTACTACTTGAGCAACTGTGCCAGTCCTGAAGTTAAAAAACTTTTTTTTTTCAATTTTTCTTTTATTATTCATATGTGCATACAAGGCTTAATGCTGCCCTACTGCATAAGAATATTCTAAATATGACTAAGATTTACTTTTATCCACCGGGATTAGTACCATTTTCATGTCATTTTAAGGTCACTTTGTATAATTTTTGCCTTTGTCATCTGTAAGGTGTCTCACCATCCTTAAGGAGGACACACACTGAGTATTCGAAACAGATCATCAGCTTTGTTAAATGCAGGAGTTGCAGCGCAAGCCTGAGGAATCCCTACTTCAATTAGGATGAGTGGGTTTTAGTGCTATCCTCTCCTAACAGCAGAGTTTTGTTTGTGCAAAATTGCTCAAAGCACAGTTTTGGTTGATTGTATTACCTAGCAATACCAACTCATAGAAGAAATGTTTACCTATTGCATTTATTTTCTTATTCGATGATTGATCTCTTCATGTACTGTGAGAAAAGGAACAAAAATCAGTAAGATTTTTTTAGCATATATTAATTATGCAAATTAATGGATCTCAGGGTTTTCCCCTTGCTTGGCAGGTACTGTACTACTTGAGGCACGCCTCTAGACTTTGTTTCTTTGGCTATTTTTTGAGACCAGGTGTTTCCCATTTTTTGATTTTGTTTTTGTTGACCTGGACTGGCCTAGATCCAATCCTCCTCATCTCAGCCTCCCAAGTACCTCAGATTACAGGCAGTAGCCACTGGTGCCTGGCTCAGTATGACCTTTTCATACATCTGTGTGGTGTGCTGTGATCAGAAACACTCTTCTACAAACCTGCTGCTTATACTCCTCCTTTCCTGAAATAGTCCCTACTACTTTCATGTCTTTTAAAATAGTCATATGTCATAGAAAATCTATTCCTATATAGAATTATTTACACAAGTCTTTATATATAGATACTTGAGTTATAAAAGTATTGAATATATTAATGTAAACTATACATTGTAAAACTTTTGAAAGGTACATAAATATAGAATTTTGTATAAACATGAATACTCCATATAAATATAGAAGATAAATAAATGTTCTTATTTGAAAAATTCACAGAATAAATACCTTTGTTTCATAATACATAAGACAAAATGGTAAGCAGAAAGCACTCCCTGGTACATCTCAGTGGCCCTCGATCTTGATACTCACGAAAATGCTAATTTTGCTTTGCACCCGTGGATCATACCTAAAGGCTAATTACTTAGAAAGCTGAGATAGGGTAGATTGTGTTGAAGGGTAGCCTGGGTGAAGAAGTGACCCCCATCTTCAAAATAATCACAGCAAAATGGGCTATAATAGAGCATCAAGTTTAGCAGCACCAAGCCATGAGTCCAAACCCAAATCCCACAACCGAAAACAAACCCAAAGCTAAAATATGTACTGTACTTTATATTTTCCTCAGACTGGTGCATTTTATTATAAGCAAGAGAAATTGGTCTAACACCAGAAGGTTCTATATTCAGTCCTGTTCAGAACCTATTAAGGAAAGGGTTTGTGGGAAAAAACAAATAACTTGGTATTTATACAATCTTTCTGGATTTGAAGAATGATATTTACTAGGAAGTGCCTTGCTAATGAAATGAAAAATGGGTAAATACCTAAGGAAAGGGGTAGAGAGGGACATATAGGAAAAGGAAGATAATGATAACTGCACATAAGCAATGGATTTTGGAAAGTATTACCAGGACCCAGAAATTGAAGGAATAGTGGCTACACCTGATGGGCCTGGAGGCCCTTCTTATTCAGAAAATTGAAAAGCTAAGACAGAAGCTGCTACTGCTGATAATTTTGAGATCTTCAGGGAAAGAGGTAAGATGATGTCCCAGAGGCTGGTGAAGATATCATGGAATGAAAAAGGTGTTGACAATTACTTCTAAATTTATCTTATCAAGTTTGAAATGGCAGATTCCAGGTTCTGGGAGAGTAGGAAACAATATATTAGTCAGCTTTCACCCTGTAACAAACTCTTGAGGTAGTGAAGCTATAAGGATCAATGTTGTTTTTTGGTTGCTAGTTATTGAGGTCCCATCCATAATGAAATGGCTCTGTGGGATTTGGACATGGGGCCTGGCAGCACATAGGATGAGGATTATGTGGTGGAGCAAAACAATAAATGCCATGGCAGGGAGTAGAAGAGCAGAAGTAGAGTAGGGTCCATTGAACTCCCTTGATGGCTTGTCTCCAAATATCTGAAGGCTTGCTTGTACTTGGCTCCAACTCTTAATAAGTTTGAAAACCTTCCAATAATCCCAAGCAAGGGACAAATCCCTCACTCATTTGCCTTTGGATGACATTGGTTCAAACAAAACTAGGTAGGAGGGAATGGGGCATGGTTTGTCAATAAGTAGTAAGTTACAGCAACAATAAGGAGTCATACTTTCTGTACATGAAGACATGTTTGACAGTCTATTCATTCCAAGACTGGACCTTTATCTAGGCATGCATAGAAGTGGTGGAGTCAGACTGTCATTTCATGAAGTCTGTTAAAATTAAAGAAAGACTTATGGAAGCAGGTACATGAATGTTTCAGTTTCCTTTTATCAGAATGTTAAAGTATCCCTGTGACTTTTCCCTCCATCTAAGGTCAATATTGAAGGAGGGAGCATTATTATGCAAGGAAAAGGGGGCAGCAGGCATGCTGAGGCCCCAGATTTAAATCATTAGGTGTGCCTCCTTCAACACATGGGTCTATTGCATTGTGAGGCATCAGTTGAGTGTTCAAATTGGTATTGAAGCTTGGGAATATGCTGTACCCTTTGAATGTGGGTCTTCATTGTAACCTGGGGTCAAACAGACTCCTTGTCTGAACTACTCCAAAGGGTTTTTGTTCTTTTTAATCCATTTTTTAAAATGTTCTCTTTTCCTTTGTACAATTCTAGTGAGAATGATGCACTTTCTCCTTGTTCACATGTTCTTTCTTTGTTTGGGTAATACAGTTTAGGTTGAGATTTCAGGTATAAAAAATGCTTGTCCATGAAGAGAAGTGCATGATCCCAATTCCTGAAATGTGACAAAATCAGGTCTTTCCTCCTGGTCAAGTGAGTCCTTACCTGGCCTGGCCAAGAACTGCAACTTTTCTGAGATCATAGGCTGTCCCCATGGGAAAATGAGTGTGAAATTCTCTCAGCATATTCCTGGCTTGATTTCCCAGTGGAAGAAGAAGGGTCAATTCTGAAAAGTAGGTTCCACTTAACTACAATAAGTCCCCAGGCTGGACTGGGTAGGCAACAGGGAGGAGTTCTGAACTGCTGAGGGCTGATCCTGGATTCTGTAATTTGGCTTTTGCACTCTCCCTTGGTAGGGCATCACTTCTTCTGATACTCAGATCCCAAAGGGTTTGTTCTGGATCCCTAACCAGTGAGAAGTGCTTGAGAACTGGTGTCATGATCATTGATGTTTACAAAAACAAACTGCCTTTTTTTGCATTGCAACTGGAACTGTGATTTAAGACACTTAATTTTTACCATCCTTTACAAAATCATCTTATAACTGATTATTTTCATTATCTTCTTTAATGCTACCAACAATGGTATATTTCACCTTTTTTGGTGGAATTGTGTTTTGAACACAGGGCTTTGCACTTGTAAAGCAGGTACTCTACTTCTTAAGTTACACCTCCTCCTCACATTTCAGAGATGACTTGGATTTTGAAAATCTTCTCTTTTGAAAGCTCTCTGTGTTTCCACACCTCTTCATAAAGTAATTGACATTGTTCATTCTGACAAGAGCATGAAAATGACAACAGAGTGAGCATGACTATCTCCTAGACCAGCTGTCCTTTCCCATGATTGACATTGTCTTCAGGTGACCATAAAATGGGGTTGTTGTGTTGCCTCAGTTTGAGGGTGGGTCATAGAGTTCAGATGTGCAAAACAGAGACAACATTCAGGAAAGCTTGCTTATTAGGTGTTCTGTTTCATCTGATCAGTTAAGGTAAAGTTTTTGAGGTAGAAAGTGGGAATATCAAAAGTGTGAGCCTTACCTTGTTTTAGATTAACTGTGGAAAGACATGTAAGTATAGTGGGAATACAAAAGATGGCATTATTTAATCACTAGTGTATGTTAGGATTACTTTGTTCTGGTAATATTTTAGCTGTTTGTATTTTCTTTTGTGTATGTGTGTGTGTGTGTGTGGTACTGTTTGAACTCGGTGTCTCACACTTGTTAGGCAGGGCATGTACCACTTGAGCCTCTGCACCAGCACGTTGTTTGCATTTTAATTAAGGGAGTTGGTCTTGTCAGAATGTATCTTGTGACAATTGAGAAAGCCTGTGAAGTACAGTGGAAAAACAAGACACATTTGGTTCTGTCTGTTAGAACACAGGTTTTTATTGTCTTGAGGGTTTTTTTGATTGTATGGAATTGGTGTCAGCTACAGCTTCTCTTCTACTTAATAATTGGACTCACTGGTTGGTGTGCCAGCCTTTTTTGTGAAGAGTTTTTTAACGATATGGTCTCTCAAACCATTTGCCTGGTCTGGCTTCAAAACATGATCTTACTTTCTTGGGTGATAATGGGTACATTGAGAGAACAGGTGTGAGAAATCCTTGTCCAACCAAAAAAAGAAAAAAACAGGATTAAAATGCAGAAAATGAAGATAGATAACACAACATGCTCATCAGCCAACTGGATGCAAGTGTTACAGAATTCATTAGTCAACACCAAATAAAAATATATTTTATGAACATAATGAATTTTTCCCAAAGAGTAATGTAAAAGTACAGAACACAACAAAGTCTGGTGTTCTCTGAGAAGGTGTGTTTCCAGTGTCAAGCAGTATAGTACCTGAACAGGTGAGCTGCAGATAAATGCTGGTGGGTGTTCTTTCCTTTCTAAATGTATAACTGTGGCTATCATGGGACCATTTTCTCTTCAGTGTTTTGCTTTGACATGATTTACACTTCTCCATGAACACATGAAGAATATCTGTGAGGGTCAGAGTCAAATATAGCTACATTTTGGTAATGTCATAGAGACTGCGTTTTTGCAGTTGACTTATTTTTTTTAGTAGAAATTTCATGTGACTGAATTGAGATGTTCTGTATAAATATATAAGTGTAGAGACTAGAATTTTCTCAGTAGGAGATGGGAGTAAAAGGACATGATGGGTTCCCAGAGTTATATCCTCAGGTTTTTGTGATGATCAATACTGCTTTTCAGTACTGAGTGTGTTCTTCACCCATGAAGGTTTTATGGAATTATTGCACTATGTGGGTAATCCCAAATTAAGAAATGCAGATGTCCCAATTGCTAGGCAGTAATGATCTATGGTTTACAAGAAAGGAGAAGAATTTGGGAGATTACAGATGATGACAGGTAGGCAAATAAACTTTCAGTGCTGGAAAATTATTCCCTGTAACAAGTCTGTTCTGATGGTGACAGAAAAACAGGGCTTTTCTGCTGATTCAGGGTGGGTAACAGTGAGCATGACTGCAGGTAGAACACTAAACTTTAAAAAGTTTGCTTCATAAGCATTTTCTTTGCACTAATTTGTACAAACTGAGAAAATCTGAGAGGCATAATCTAACAGAAAGACAAGTTTGGATTCTTCATGCTACTGGAATGCTTTCATGCATTTGAGAAATGTGGGTATTTAGTAAAATTTCTACAATCTGGCATACAGATGACCACAACTTTTAAGACCTTTGGAACTTGATTAAATGATCAAATGCATAAATTTTTGACATTAAAGGTGATGTACAACAACAGAAAAAAGACATAGGAAACTACTCAGTGAATTAATCTAAGGGTAATTCTGAAATTCATGGAAAAATCTGCACATGCATGCACATGAGGTATCTAGATGCCCTGGTAGATGTGAATAAAAAGGGTCTGTACACACATTACTACAGTAGATGGATCGCACTGTAATCCTTTCCCTACTTTTTTTGTCATATTCTTCTATTCCATTCTTCTATTGTTGACCCTTGGAAATTAGAAAAAGTATTAGACCTAGTCCATATAAAAGTCTTCTGAGTGCTGTCTTTGAGTGTTTTTCACAAACAATCATGTGTGATATTGAACCAAACTATTTTCACATCTGTTTCTGTGGTCATGGTTTTGGGCCTTTTCTAGATGTCTTCTCCAGGATATGAAAAATAGTTCTGATTAACATTCATAATACATCCAGTGGGTATTAGAAACAATTTCAGGACTTTGTTTCATAATTATAACTAGAGAAATGTCAGTGGAGATTGTTCAATTGGCACTTCTTGTATGTATTTGTATTTTGAACACTTATTTTGCTCAGCTAACTCCTTATTCATTGGCCTAAATTGTGGTTCACACCTGGTATTTTATGTTGAATAGACATGTGCATTTCTCAATCACATCTCACTCATTAGTGTATGCATTTCACTAATCCTTTTGTTTTGCTTGTATTGCAGATATTTATCCTCATTGTTTGTATATTGTCACAATAATATATTAACATTCCACATTCATTTTTCATGTTCCTTTGGTTGTGACTTTCAAAATGCTCTTCTTTTTGTGTTACTTTCAGACAGAAACTTCATTGCATAGCACTTGAACAGGAAATGTATCACAGGATCACATTGAACATATGCTAGTCCAGTCCTACCTTAGTTTTGCAAATGCTGGTATGACAGGCATGTAACAGCATAACTTCTTCAAGAGTATTCAGATTTTATCTTTCCTATTTCCTATGCAGTGCATCATTGTCCATGACATTGGAGAATACAATGTTTGTTTTCAAGGACAAACCGGGTTCCAGATTTTGTGTTTTAGCTACCAATGTATGATATTTCTTTTGTCTTGAACCAATTTTCTCTTACTGTTTTTAGTCAAGGGGATACTGGTTCTCTTTCCTCTGACTCCTATTTGTTAATCTGTTTCTTGTAGCACAGTGTCCTTGATAATGTAGTTTGAACATTGTTTATTAATATTAGACAATAGTACACTTTGTGTTCTTTGCCTTTCTGTCCCCCATTCTTCTTCATTATTATTCTGTCTTTATTGACAGTAGTTCTTGCTATGTAGATCACACCAATGTTTAACTTGTGGTCCTTCTGGTGGAATTACCAGATTGGGCCTCCACAAGTGGTGCAAGGAATCACTTTCTGATTCCAATTATTTTTAATTGCTGTTTGCAATTTATGACACCAATTACAATTTGAAAAGTATTTTTGTTCATGAGTTTTAAGGTGTATTTTAGAAATTTCAAAGTTGTATACATCTAGTTTGATGTGATAACTTGTTGAAATCCATCTATTTCTAGGGACACATGCCACATTTCTCCTTTCTACATTATGTTTTTGAATGCTAATGGAAAAACTGTAACTCTATTGGAATGATCCTTCATGAGATTGATTTAGCTTTAAATTTGGGTTGGTCTGTTGTAAACCAGGTAGAAGCTTCCAAATGTTCTCTCTTGATACAGTTACCAAGGAAGTGCTCAAATAAAAAAAAAATGTTTTGGAAAGAGATATTATATACTATTTCTCATACCAACTTTCTGTTCATAACCATGAGTGCATTGTGGGTTCTCTTACCACAGAGTCTCTCTGTTGAACATTTCAGAAATGTGCAAATAATCATAAATAGCATATATACAGTAGAAGAGTTTTGGAATAAATTGCTTCAGAACACTCTCCTGTTTTTACACTTCCTATTTGGTTTGGTCAAGTTCATCCCATTAGCAGTTCTGTAAAGCCAGTAGACATAAAACTTTTACTCTTGTATTAAAAACATTATTCCTTCAATTTGCACCAGATATTACTCCGGAGGGAACTAAGAAGAAGGAATTTGTTAGTAGATTGCTAAAATCTCAGTGTATAACATGTAATTTTTGTGACCATGTTCTGCTTTGAACTTAACAAGTCCAGTGAGATGTCAGAATTACTATGAAGTGTGAGTATAGATGGAGAATGAGAGTGTGATAAAAAATGCATTGAATATGCAGAGAACACATCAGCATGTGAATTTATTACACAGAGATTGTCTGTTTCCACTGCTGTGACAGTCACTATTATTCTAACAAATGTGTGTGGGAAATATTAGGAGGCCCTGACCTTTGAGGATGTTTCTGTGAACTTCACCCCAGAAGAATGGGCCTGTTTGGATCCTTCCCAAAAGAAGCTTTACAAAGAAGTGATGCTAGAAACCTGTAGCAACCTGTCCTACTTAGGTAAATATGGCATCATTACCTTATTCATACTGTGCACTACTGTTGTGACTCATAGGTGTTGTTGCCTCATGGGGTGTTTAAAAAGGGACAGTAATGGTTCATATACATGCATGATCATATTATACCATGAAAATAGCTGAGGTCTGAAATTGTTCCTTTATATCGATTAAATACTAATGATTTCTCTGTCTATATCTTACAAACAAAAGCAGAAAATGACAACATTGAAGAGTTCTTCGGGAGTCCCAGAAGAAATATGAGGTAATTTCTATTTATAACCAAAATGGTGAAAATCTGATGTGTCATTGACAAGAATGTTGAAAACTAAGAAAATGAGACCACAAACTCTACTTATGAATTGCTGAAATCAGTGAAAAATTTCTCTAAGATGGGAAAAATAAGTAAAGCATCCACAATCAGAAAATTCAATGTCTGATATTTGCCATTTTTTTCTAATAGGTTTTGTCCTAAGAAGTCACAAGAGACACTGTCCTATTGCTCAGTATACAAAAATAACCCCTTGTTGTACACAAACTAATTTAAATATATTATATCAAATTTTCTCACATTGGGATTATCATGTATACTGGTATAGACAGGCACATTTTTACTCAAGTTCATTCTTGTATTTTACAATTCAACATGCCTTTGAACCTACGCATCTCAACAAATACTTTAAGTGTATGTCAATGTAGTAAAACTCATTCAGTGTTTCCACACCTAATGTGGAAATAGTACTATGGATTCACAAAGAACACCACTCTTTTGATAATAGCTGTCCTCAGTCCCTGCTGCAGAACACATAGTATATTTGTGTTATTAGCGTCTATTATTAAATCATTATTAGGATAACAATGGTAATCTTTGTGTGTTTTACAGACCAGAAATGTTAGAGAGACTGTATGAGCATAAACAACATATTCATTGTGGAGAATCTTTTCAACAGACTTCAGAAAACACTGTAAGCAAGGAAATTTTGCTTAGAAAAGCACAACGTAAAAGCAATATATGTAATGCTTATGAAAAAACCTGCACTAATGGCAAGGCTATTCTAATCCATGAAGAGATATGCAATGTAGTGAAATCTCAGGGATGGAAACAATGTGAAAAAACCTTCAGTTCATCTGGTATCTTTTACCCTCATCCCAGTAACCTTCATATTCGTGGAAGAACTCACAGTGGAGAAAAACCCTATGGATGTAAACAATGTGGGAAAGTTTTCAGGCATGCGTGTTACCTTCGTTATCATGAAAGAAGTCACACTGGAGAGAAACCCTATGGATGTAAACAATGTGGGAAAGCTTTCTCTCAAGCCACATACCTTCGAATTCATGAAAGAACTCACACTGGAGAGAAACCCTATGAATGTAAGAAATGTGGGAAATTCTTCAGTCATGCTTGTTACCTTCGTTATCATGAAAGAAGTCACACTGGAGAGAAACCCTATGGATGTAAACATTGTGGGAAAGCTTTCTCTCAAGCCACATACCTTCGAATTCATGAACGAACTCACAGTGGAGAAAAACCATATGGATGTAAGCAGTGTGGGAAAGGTTTTGCTCAAGCCAGTTACCTTCGAATGCATGAAAGAACTCACAGTGGAGAAAAACCTTATGAATGTAAGCAATGTGGGAAGGCTTTTGCTCGAGCCAGTTACATGCGAATCCATGAAAGAACTCACTGGAGAGAAACCCTATGGATATAAGAAATGTGGGAAAGTTTTTCACTCAAGCTATTGCCTTTGAATTTATGAAAGAACTCACACTAGAGAGAAAACCTATGGATGTAACGAATGTGGGAAATTCTTCACTCATGTGTATTACATTAGATATTATGAAAGAACTCGTCATGGAGAAAAACCCTATGGATGTAAGCAATATGGGAAAGCCTTTAATCAAGCCATTCACCTCCAAATACATGAAAGAACTCATGCTGGAGAGAAACCCTATGGATGTAAACAGTGTGGGAAAGCCTTTAATTGAGATAGTCACCTTCAAAGACATAGAAGAACTCACACTGGAGAGAAACCCTATGGATGTAAGCAATGTGGGAAGCCTACACTTCTTCGAGTATCCTTCATATTCATGAAAGAAATCACACTGGAGAGAAACCCTATGCATGTCAGCAATGTGGGAAAGCATATACCGTTCACTGTCCTGCATGAACCAAGGTACAAGTTAAATGTCTTAAAGAAGGAGGTTTCCACAAAGTGTCATTCTTCTTCTTAGACAAAACAACTGCTTCTTGAATTCTTCCAGGAGTCTTCATTCCAAAGACTTTGGTTGTACCAATAACCCATGATTTTCCATCTGATAATATTATTAGCTTAAAAATCATTCGTGAAAATAAAAGCATCATGTTTTTCACTCTCATAGTCAGAAGCTGTAGGTAGATAAAGAATGCCACACTGAATGACACTTTCAAGGTCATGTCCTATGAGTCAGTTCACCTGGGCAGCACCTCTTATTTTATCAATGGGTATTACAGAAGTTAATTTTCTCAAATACCTCTCTGCAAGAACTGGTATAAAACTTATCTCCACTTTTCAGGGAGATAAGTTCTGCTAAACCTCCAATAGTCAAGAATCCAGCAAATTTCAAATTTAGAAAGTAGTTTGAAAATTTTAGGACAAACAATTTTGAAATAATGTACACAAATATTTATACCATGTAGAAATTTCCTAAATCCTCTGTTAGTGTTGCTGTCTTCAAGTATTACTATCTTTTTATATACTCATTTGCCATGTATATGTGAAATTTAATACATTAAAAACTACAGAGTCATCCTTAAACTCCACACAAGCGTATGTACCGACTAACAGGTCTACAAGTATTGACACGCTCAAACAGTGTAAAATGTGTTCAGAGACATTAAACAAATAATACTCATTGTTAAAGCACATAGAATAGTTCTTTGTAAGTGTAAAATAATGCACCTTTGTTGTCCCAACATGAATATGAGGTAGCAATCTACCCTGGCATTATTCTGAAATTTTACAGATGAAATAAACCTGGCTTTTAGTTGAACTTGGATCTTTCAGGGTAATTTGAAGTGTCATTTAGATGTGTAAATCATGTCCATTCTAAAGGTGCATCCATTGCTCTTTTTCCTTTCTTTACAGTAAATACAAAACCACAATTTTCTTTTTTTTTTTTTTCATTTTTCTTTTATTATTCATATGTGCATACAAGGCTTGGTTCATTTCTCCCCCCTGCCCCCACCCCCTCCCTTACCACCCACTCTGCCCCTCCCGCTCCACCTCCTCAATACCCAGCAGAAACTATTTTGCCCTTATCTCTAATTTTGTTGTAGAGAGAGTATAAGCAATAATAGGAAGGAACAAGGGGTTTTGCTGGTTGAGATAAGGATAGCTATACAGGGCATTGACTCACATTGATTTCCTGTGCGTGGGTGTTACCTTCTAGGTTAATTCTTTTTGATCTAACCTTTTCTCTAGTTCCTGGTCCCCTTTTCCTATTGGCCTCAGTTGCTTTAAGGTATCTGCTTTAGTTTCTCTGCATTAAGGGCAACAAATGCTAGCTAGTTTTTTAGGTGTCTTACCTATCCTCACCCCTCCCTTGTGTGCTCTCACTTTTATCATGTGCTCATAGTCCAATCTCCTTGTTGTGTTTGCCCTTGATCTAATGTCCACATATGAGGGAGAACATACGATTTTTGGTCTTTTGGGCCAGGCTAACCTCACTCAGAATGATGTTCTCCAATTCCATCCATTTACCAGCAAATGATAACATTTCGTTCTTCTTCATGGCTGCATAAAATTCCATTGTGTATAGATACCACATTTTCTTAATCCATTCGTCAGTGGTGGGGCATCTTGGCTGTTTCCATAACTTGGCTATTGTGAATAGTGCCGCAATAAACATGGATGTGCAGGTGCCTCTGGAGTAACAGTCTTTTGGGTATATCCCCAAGAGTGGTATTGCTGGATCAAATGGTAGATCAATGTCCAGCTTTTAAAGTAGCCTCCAAATTTTTTTCCAGAGTGGTTGTACTAGTCTACATTCCCACCAAGAGTGTAAGAGGGTTCCTTTTTCCCTGCATCCTCGCCAACACCTGTTGTTGGTGGTGTTGCTGATGATGGTTATTCTATCAGGGGTGAGGTGGAATCTTAGTGTGGTTTTAATTTGCATTTCCTTTATTGCTAGAGATGGTGAGCATTTTTTCATGTGTTTTCTGGCCATTTGAATTTCTTCTTTTGAGAAAGTTCTGTTTAGTTCACATGCCCATTTCTTTATTGGCAAAACCACAATTTTCATTTCCCAAGACTGACAAGCCTTCACATCCACTTTCTTAAGGCCACCTGACCTTGACTTTCCTATAAAACAATGAGAAACAATCTGACAACAGTAACAGCTGTGTGTGTGGTGGGGGGCAGGAGATAAGTCTCCATTCCACTCCAAGAGCAGTTATGTATGTGGATGTCTATTTCTAATGGTTCTGGCATGTGGGAGATGCTTGGAAGTTCAGGGATTTAGTGGCAGCACAAAGAATCAGAGCCTCAGAGGACAGATTGTTAATTTAATTCTTGATTACTCTCATCTCTTAGGAAACCCAGAACTCACCAGAGAAAAAGGCGAGAGAAGGTGCCCTGTACTGCAATGCTCCTTCCTCACAAAAACATCATAAATAAGCCTATAAGATCCAATGACTACCCTGCATCACCACACAGGCATCAGTGTGGATCTTTCCAGAGAGAACTGTGGGCCAGAATGAAGTCACCTCTCCCACAGACAAGACAGGATAGGACAGTGTTCCTGACTCCCTGCCTTGCCCCCTCCCCTGCAGGATTCAGGGCACCAAAGAGTGAGTGGTATCAAAAGTACAACCCATTCACACATTGACAAGATGACTGTGGCCCTCTTTGCCCAACTGCAGAGAATGGCCATGATGTCACCTTTTTCTAAGGTAATGCAGCCAAATGTCTTCTAAGGTTCTGCACTCATTGTAAATCACTCAGCTGCCAAACTGATGTGTCTAAGAAGACTCATCATTGGAAAGTTGGCAATTTGGCAGGTAACTTCCTGCCCAATTCTGCATCATGTAACATTTACTGTGGCACTCACTATTGGTCCATACAGGCTTGAAACAGCCTCTCTGACAGTCTAATCCCTCAGGTAAAGAACCTCAAGGCATTTGTAACAGGATAAGGATGCTTTTACTGGCTGATCTATAGGACAGTACCCAGCAACAGCCAATGCTCAGGCTTTTTATTTCTCAAAACTTGTCCTGGCCCCTTGCCCCATCCCTCCCTATTCATGAAGTATGAATCTAGGATAACTATGCATATCAAAATCAAAACACGGCATAAAAATCAGTCCTATTATAACCACAGTTAATCCTACAGAAAGGAGGGAACACCCACCAGCATTTGCCTGTGACTCACTTGATTTCAAGTACTATGCACCGTCTCAGTGGCAACTCCTCTACTCTATCAATACAATGTCAGTTCTATAGACTGACATTATTTAAAGTGCATATTTTAGCTTAGAATGTGACAAACCTGTGAGAGTATTCATTCCATTCATAAAATTTTTTCTTTTCCTCTGTTGACTGATGAATTCTGTAACAATAGCATCCAGTGGCTGATGAGCATGTTAAGTTATCTATCATTTTTGCACCTATTTTTCTTTTTAGTGGGACTAGGCTTTGAATTCAGGGCTTCATTTTGTAAACCAGGTTCTTTACTGCATGAATCACATTTTTATCCCATTTTGCTTTGGTTATTTTTGGAGATGGGGTCTCATGAACTATCTGTAGTTAACCAAAAACATTGAAATATGAAAAGAAGTGAATCCCAGGGAAAAGAAATGAACAGCTCAGTGGTAGGTCAATTGCCTACCATTGGGGTCCACCACCAGCAGAGGAAAAAACTAAACAAAATGATATTAACAAAAAAGAAGTGAGCTTAATGAATTCAACTTTTAATTAACCCTATAAGAATATAATTGCTTTTATTATTTTTATTGATTTCTTCCTAGTATTATCTTCCCTACTTCAAACTAGTAAATCAGTAACTGAGATGTCTTTGCAACAATAGTTTTTTTCAACTTCCAATATAAGTGATCATTATAATGCACAATATAAATCAAAGAACTTGGATCCTGCTGACTCACACCTGTCATCCCAGCTTCTTGTTAGGCTGAGGACAGCAGGATCATGGTTTCAGGCCACCCTGTACAAATAGTTCTGGAGACCCTATCTGTAAATAACCAGAGAAAAATAAGCTTGAGATATTTTTTATGTGGTAGAGCTCCTTTCTTAGAAAGGGAAATCCTGTATTCAAATTCCAGCCCCACAAAAAACTGAAAAAAATCTTTAACTTTCATATTAATTTAATAAGTATTTTTATTTGGCTGACAAACTCTATTAGGGCTATGATGTCACTCATTTACACCCTATTAACAGCTATGTATCAACATGTGTATGGTCATCTCATTTTATGTTAGAGCAGTGAATATTGAATTTTGATATTAAATTGTTTGTCATTCCATCTCCCCATGGCCAAATATTTCTATGTCCTCAAAGCTAGAATATGCAGATGGAGAGCTTGGTTATGCTTTACCTGTTCTGAGAACCGGGATTACTCAGAGTAAATATAGTAAACTTTGCACACAAACCACACCTTCTCATTGATAGACAAACACTACAAATACCAAGGAAAATTGTAGCCAAGTTACTTTTGTAAGAAAAATGCTTAAACAAAATGCTAACCAAAACTGCTAACAAGAATATAGAGGAATGTCATTAGCAAACAGTCCATGTGGTCGCACTTTGACAAAAGACAAAGGGTATATAAAGAGAATGTTGGGGATTTTTGGTGCCACAACTTGGTAAAAGAATTCACCGAGAAAAGAAAATAGGATAAGCAAGAGGTTTATTTGGGAAGCAGTGGGCAACTGAACACTGGGTAGCTCTACTACTCTGATATGATAGTTTGGTAGTTTTTTTATATGCTGCAAAGCAAAGGAAATCAAAGCTGCACCCTCTAGCAAGAGGGTGGGAAGACTCAAGTAGGAATATTGCATTGAAGGTCCTGAGAACTCAAGCTCTTATTGTGGTCTGTGCAGATGGAAATGGTCATTCCTGGAAAACTGGTCTCTGTGTGATGAACTCTCATAGTGTGAGCTAGGTGCTGGTGGTTCAAGCCTGTAATCCTAATTGTTAGGGTGAGTATAGGGCAGCACATGAGGAGTGGATCTTTCCTCATCACATTTTGCTTTCTGAAAACTACACTGCCCCTGAAGTATAGCAAATGTTCACCTTTAGCCATTTACTAGAAATTTCCCACCCAGCCTCATAGAAAGACCCCATTATCTCATTAGTGGCATAGGTTGATGGAGGGTATTCCTGTCCATTGCCTTCATGGGAGTTCACCATGGGGCTCCATTCTTGGATGTCTCCCATTAAATTCCTATATGTATCCATGGTCTGCAAGCAGCTGTCAGCTCCAGCTCTCTTGTTGGGACTGCCCCAAAGAATTCTCCCAATCAAGCATGTGCTGAGGTATTGAGCCATCCATAGATTGCTTCTTTCAATCTAATGTCTCTGTCTCTTCATCTATGTCTGCATGCATTGCAGTCCAACATGCCTTTTCTCCATGTAACATTAGGTTCTCAGGAGACAGAGATCAGGATGATTGCAGTTTGAAGCCAGCCTGGGCAATTAGTTCTGGAGGCCACAAGTTCAAATCCCAGTATGTGTAAAGAAAACAAATTTGCCTGCTGTCATCAAAATGTCCTAGATGTGGGTTTGGAGCATATTTTGGCTTGGATGGTCAGGCTGAGGCTGTTGTTTTTTGTAGGATCCCAGGTTTTCAGTTCACCAAGACCCTCCTGTATCACAGGCATTAGTATTAGCTGTCTAGTCCAGAATGAGATTCCTTATCATCAGACAAGCCGTGGTTCTCAACCATCATGTTTCCATTAGTCTTCATCAGAGACTTCCTACTTCTTAGCCAAGACAGCCTCACCAAAGCAGTCATGATTCCATCCTCTTTGACATCCAATGAAATACAAGGTGAAACTTCTATCATTTTAGGTCAATAATTCAATTGCTGCCTTTTTACAGGGTTTCTTCAATAAATTTTTGGTGTGGGTTTAAAGATTATTGCACATATTATTTGGTAATGGTTTGCCCATTCTCTTACACAGAGTGTGTAAACATTTTAAAAGGCATACAAGAGTCAGGAAGACTTGAACAAGTGAAGAGATGGGCTAACTTGTGATATTACATGAAATTAACTTCTGAAAAATATTTATGATATCATAAATGAGTTGCATATAAATTTGGTGACAGGAATGAATTACAGGTTTCCATTTACTCAGTTAAAAAAAATATATTTTGAACTTTAGTTTATTTAATTCACATACCACTACTCTTCTGACTTGATTAACATAAGAGAAATAACTGCACATTAAAATAGGACAATTAACATTGACATTTCTTTTGTTCTCTGAATATCATATTCATGCCTAACGTATCAATAACCAATAGGGCAAAAAACTTAAAAGGACACTTAAAGTCATATTTTTATGTAAGTGAATAGTCACAGAGAACTGTTTATGCCACTCATGAAGGTAGCAAAAATAGGAAAATAGATTGCCCAGGGAGGTATACAAAAGTTAATGGGGAAGCTATGGACAAATTTTACTCTCAGCGGTAGATGTGTGGTGAGGCTGACTCTCTGGGCTGCTCATAGCCTTTGATAGGCTGCTCTCCACATTGTTTATTTGGGAAAGGGGCATTGAGGGGAATATATGTTCATCATTATGACCAAAATTTAGTCAAATACTATTTCAGATTTTTGCATAGGACATATTGGGATACATTCCCATACACAGAATGAAAAAGATAAAAAATTAATATCAACATTTCCAGACTCCAAGAATTATGACTGGGCAATGCTTCATGTGAAATTAAGGCAAAAGAGGCACTCCAGAGAGGCATTAACTTCCCTTACCAGAAATCCATGTAAACAAAGTCAGAAAACTAATGTGTTAGTGAAGAAAGGCAGAATCTATGAATTGCTTAGTTTCAACTACAAAAACCCTACCAGGATGTCCCCATGAAATTCAGAGAAAAATCCTTCCAACATCAGATGCTGGATGTTTGATGCGGTGTATTATCCATTTTGAAATTTTAAATTTTTGCACAAGTTCCATTTTGGAGACAAGTCTACTTCCCAAAGTCTTCACTGTGGAAATTTTACAACCAAAACCTCAATGTGAAGTGGCAAATGTACTCTAATATCAGTACATCTACACTGGATAAAGAGAGCCATTTGTTGTGATATGTCTCAACATAGTGATAGGAGTTAGCCTGGGATAGTCATGGAGGGGACTGAGGAAGCACAGATCAAAGGCTAGCCAGAACAGGGCATCACAACACAAACATCTTTCAGAGACAATATAGAATAGAGAAGGGAGTCATCTTGAAACTATACCAAAGGGCAGGCATGGCAACACATCTTTAAGAAGCAGATATAAAGGTAGGAGGGAGTAGTCTATAAAGGTTGTCCTTAGTGCCAAATCTTTCTCTCAATCCACCTAGTAGATTGTTTTTTAAGTCAATCTGTGAAGTCAACCCAGACACACTTCCACCTGTAATAAAATCTCATGGAGTTTTTACTTGAGAAAGAAAATCCAAGGAATCTTGGTACAGACATTGGCTATAGATTTACACAGACAAAAGCATGGGAGCAGGGGACAAAGGCATGCACAGCAAATGGTTCCAACCACATGTGTGACATGGTTGGTCATCATCTCAGTCCCTGGTCTGGGAGAAGTTCCAGAGTTGTTTTCTGGAGGGTGTTCCACCTAAGCAGATTAAGCCTAAGTCATAAGTACTAATTATTGAAGTCTGAAACTAGAAACACCTTTATCAAGCAGAATAAAGAGTAAGTAAAT